TTTTCCAATACACACATTCATACAATCCTCATACTCATACACTCATACTAAAATACATATGCATGTATACATATACACAAAAATAATTAATACTTAAAATGGTAAAAATAATAGTTTGCTTTGTTAAATATTTTTAATTGAGCTCAAACAGCAAGCTTATGTAAAAATGATTTACCTTCTTTTCACTCACATTGTTCTTATTTTTTCCCTCTAAAAAACATTATTTTTTATTTTTATAGCCTGCAGTATTAAACTATTAGGATGTGTGTCCATCACATGTCTTGCATTTTCCTAGCTTTAAGGATCATTTAAGTTTGTTTACATTTTAAACATTTGGCTGAGGTATAATTAATATTTCAGTATAACTGACTCGCTGTCAGCTGAGTTGCAGCAGAAGCTTGCGTACGCCACAGTGAGACGGGAAAACGAGTTGCATGCAGCTGGCAGAAACAAATAAAAATAGCTTATCAGAAGCACTCAACATCATTTCAGTGCGTGATCTATTTTGGCATCAATTTTATTCACTTTTTAGAATGTTAATTGACTCCCCAGTAAACATTTAAATAATTCAAAAGTTACACTTCCACTTTTGCAAGTGAAATTTTTAATATATTAAAAAGTTTTTTTTCCCGCTCATCTGTCTAGAGAGTTTGAAAAAGCAGGGAGAAGATAAAAGTAAAAGAATGGGTTTCATAGAGCCGTAGTCATTAAAAGAATCTGAAAATAGCAACTCGCTATCATCTGTTCTCATGGCACGGGTCAGGAGCTCTGACACCTCCAAAATTCCTCCTGTCAGGGTAGGGGGCCATTTGTATTCTCTCTCATTAGGCAATTTGACTAATGACCTGCCGCGGCTGCAGAGTTACTGAGGGACCCAGAGCCTCGCGCCCTCTCTCTTGCAGCAGCCTGAACACACACCCTCCATTGGAATGGCACAGATGGCATGCCCGGGCGACAAAATAAACTACAATATGTCTCCGAGATGCTGTCAGGCCTGGGCACTATTTCTCATGTCAGAGCGGGGCTAAGGGCTGTGAGTGGGCATAGGGGGTCCTCCTCCAGCTCTCTGTTCATCTACTCACCATTATCTGCAGAGGTGACAGAGAGCGGGGTCTGCAACTAGAATAGCACCTTCATGGTCTGCATAAAAAATCCAGCTCCAATTGAGAGTCACGCCGACAGGAAAGGCATTGCAATGTCTAGCCTGGAAACACAGGGAGAGGAGGCAGTATCCAATTTTTTATGGCAGATTCCAAATGAAGTTCTAACCACTTTTTGAGCAGCTTTACTTATTTTTATTTTTATTTTTTGCGATACTAAACAAGAGAAATCAGCTCAATAGTGAGTAAAAATTTGTGATGAATGTTCACTTGCTGATTGTTGCCCAAGCCGAGACTTTCTCACTTAATTCAGGTGCGAGACAGATACACCCAAGTAATTGAACCAGACAGAGATCAATGCAATTCTGCTGAATTAGTGAAGTGTAAAATAAAAGTTCATCAACATTCCCAAACTGTTACTCTTGAGTTGTGGTGGTAATATGGGTTATGCTCGATCACCCACACATACCTTTCCATCAGTCAGTGTCGGTGCACAACTCTGTGTGCTTTATGTGTGTGTGTGTGTGTGTGTGTGTGTGTATGTGAGCCTGTCCACATGGCCACGTCTGTGAGAGTCCCGGAGATGCAATGTATGGTGCAGCTGAAGTCCTGGGTGACAGTGCATCCAACAATGGAAAAGTGAGGGATTAGTGCTCAGCCCAGCGTACGAGGGAGCCCTTCCCGCCCTGAAACAGCCATTCATCTGTGCCCAGGGGCTGGAGATGACAATGCAGCCATTGCTCATCGCACCTGACGGAGCCATTAATAAGGCAATGATCCACACGGGGCCTGTGCTGACTCCGTTCTTTACACTACAATCACTCAAGCCACAGGGTCCTCCTTACTTAACGCCACCTCTGTGCTCACCGCCGCCATCATCATCACCATCATCATCAATGTAGTCATTGTGCCAAAATTCCTGCCAGATGTTTTCATATTGACTGTGCTCATACACTCCGAACACCAAATAACTACCCGATTCCCCCACACTGTAATACGCTCATGAGTTAATGGACTGTAGCCGGGTCATTTGAGAGCCTCGAACATGCTTCAAAGTGGGATTCCCGGTCAGAAGATTGGATTTACATTATTTTTGCCCTTTGCACCTTTGGATTTCTCCACGGTGAAGCATTCATTCCTTACTACAAAGTCATCTCCCGCGCCTCTCCATTTGTCTGGATGTAAGATAGCCTCTCCAGTATAGATGGTGGAGGAATACAAAGTGAGATCTGGTTTTAAATGTAATCCGTGAGCAATAAAGAAACTCTCTGGCCTTCAGCTCTTGTGCATTCATCTGTCCGTGCCACGCAGATCCATCAGCAGCTACAATCTCAGTTTCTCGTGGCTGGCTGTAGATTAAACCGTATTCTCCCTGCCTTCCGCTTCTTGGAGTTGGTACTCCCAGCGACACAGCGGTGCATGTTTATTCACTTGTTGTTATGACTATAAAAAGCCATTGTGCTTAGCTGGTCAGCCTGGCTTACTTTCTGCTTTAAATACTCACTCATCTAAATCTGCTACAGTGATGTTGGTGTCACAGAACAGCTTTTGGGTGAATGGAAAAGGAGCTGGGGCTTGTGCTTGCATTTTGCGTTGTTGGATTTGAGGCCCATCTGTCTGTCGGCCAAGAATTAAATATTTCAGCTATTGGATTGATTCCATTGATATCTAGTATTGACATCCAGGGTTCTCAGATGATGATGTATTTTTTTCACCATGAGGTTAACATTTGGGGTTTTGAGTTCAGTGCCCCTTCTGAACCTGCCTGTTTGGGCTGTTTGCTTTGTCTGTGGTAGTGCTGGTTGCAGCTTTCTTTCTAAAGTGGCCTGCAGTCATTGAGTCGCAGCAAGTAAAGACCGGCTGCTGGACTCAGAACCACAGAACCCTGAAGCTGCTGCACAAAGAGCTGTTCACCTGCTCATTCAGAGTTCAGTGAAGCTCAACATAGTACGCAGAAGCCTGAACTACAGAATCAGTTGTCTTTGCTGTTATTGTGAACGCACCCTTGTTGTGATTGACGTCACTTACATTGTACTATCTTGGGCCCATCACAATGCACATGCTAAGTGTGAAGTGGATAATATGAACGGTTCTCGAGATATACTCTCAACATACAGAGATTTCTGGAATTATTAGACACATACTGTAGATCACAACTATTGGGTGGATTCACTCATGTCACCTTCCTGAACTAAACATCGCAACAATTACTTTGGTGATATTTAACATTTCATATAGTGTCATCATTAGTCATATCAGTCAGGAGGTAAATGGTGAATGGCAAATGGTCTGTATTTATATAGATCTTTTCTGGTCTTGTTGAGCACTCAAAGCACTTTTCACTACAGTTTTGCCATTCACACATACTTTCATAAAATGTATCTATAAGCAGCACTTTGTTAATTTTGCATCTATCGTACACTGCCGGCACAGCCGCCAGGGGCAATTCGGGGTTCAGTGTCTCGCCCAAGGACACTCATAATGGGAGAGCCGCCCCAAGGTAAGATTTGTTCTCTAGATTAAATTACGACCACGACTACTGACGACTACTTCTGCCTTCAGCTACTTTTAGCGCCTGTTAGCAGCAAACATGGTGAACACTGTAAACATTTAATCTGTTAACATCATCCTGGTAGCATGATTATTGCATTGTTGTGAGGATGTTAAAATTCTGATGTTAGCATTTAGTTCAAAGCACCATGGACCAATGTGGACTCCTGTTATTACTGCACTACTCAGGGAGAAACTAAATAAGCTTTCTTGTGGCCGTGAGGGTGAAGGTCATGCTTTGATTACAAAGCTCACATTGTACTACACTGGTGTGGAAAGTGCCAAACCAGGGATCTGTGCAATAACCGAGAGAGGAAAGCAAAGTCACATAAGTGTCAAAGTGAAGGATATTTTAGAATTTCATACTTAAAAATATTGCTGTGAACAGGAAAAGACCGAAAGGAGTGTCAGCTCCAAAGCGATGACTCTTGAGCAGCTTCGGCTTACATTTATGAGTTCCTTTTCCTGTGCCAGCTCTGATGGACTGTGGGTAAAAGAACACCAGTTGGAAGCTCTTGGGGCTCCTGACGAAGCCGGCGGCTGCAGAAGTTTTGTGCTTCCAGATTTGGGAGTTTTATAATGAAGCCGAACAGCTGCAGTTTTCCCTTCAGCCTGGAAACGAGAGGCTTTGTGTCCCCTGTCACCCTGTGTTAATTTGGACCCTAATGTATTTTATAAACAAAGGGCTGCTCTCTAGCCTGACAGTCATGACACCTTGATTCCAGTGCAGGATGCATGCAGTACAGGGTTACACCATTAATAATCAACTGGCAGCCATCACACCATTTTAACCACGATCATTATGATAAAGGGCATACACTTAATTACAGGCCTGCTTAATTATAGCTCTGTTGAAGCTCGTTTGTTTGGTCAAATGCTAATTATACCACCACGCTCTTGGCAAGTCCTCATTTCAATCCGCTTTTTGCCGGCTGAACAGTGTGGCTTATTTTCATGCAAATTTGATATCTGGTGAATGTTTTGTCTCTCTTCTTTCCACTTTTCTTTGCCTGGTGCGAGTGTGTCTTTGTTTCGAAGGTGAACATCTCCCAGACAAGACAGAATCGGGAATAATCAAGAGTAATTAAACTGGAAGAGGGTTGGGAGAGGGCTGGGTTTGGAGGAGAGAGTGAAGGTGCTCAAATAAAGCGGAGAATAGAAGAAAAAAAACCCTTTCATCTTCTTTCCATAGACGAAAGGAGGGGAGATGTCTGAGCGGAGGGGGTGACAGGGGATGCTGATAGCTTTGCTGTTTTATAATCCCACATTTACTCTTATGGAAATACTCAGGGTGCTTCTTTTATTGTTTAAAAGTCCAAATTAAACTTGTATTTCTTCTCGTCTTTGCAGCTCTGGATGATGTGCCCTTTGTGATCTCTGAGAAGTTTTTTGACAACCCCAAAAAGGTAAAAAAAAACTAGTGACAAATGCATA